TTTTTTTTTTTTTTTTTTTTTCATTTTTTCTTCATCTTACTTTCACACCTTCTTATTTTTCTATCCTTTCGTTCGTATTTTTTTGTACAACTCGTCAGGATTCTTTCTTTTAAAAGAATAATCCATGATTATTTTCTCAACGAACGTACAAAACGCGTCATATTCTTCCTCGGGTCTCCGAGAAACGAGATAAAGCTTTTTCCATAACTTTCCTCATATAAGTTAACTTAATTCTGTTTTTACACGATAGATAACAACGTTCCCGAAGAATACGTGTAAAAAGAAATCTGGAAAAATAATACAATAAACCATGAGTTTTCATGTTAGGATCTTAAAGATTTGATTTCATACAAAGTAAATGATCATTTGAAAAGGAAAAAAAACATCTTACCAATTCATGAACACAAAAATTAGGCAAGATAATATGAGTTACGCGTAAAAAGATTTGTTAATCGTTGTCACTTTGTAATAATAAAAAAACTGCAATATTACTGCTAAAAATATTTTGGTGGTTATCGTCTTCTCGAAGAATTCTTTTTCGAATGAAACTTCTTCGAATTTGGATCGATCGTGTTAAATCAAAATAAATCGTGTAAAAACGGAATTGGGCGTATAAGAAAATAGAAAAGAATGCGGTGGTGGTGATGATGGTGGTGGCGGTTTGTCGAAAAACGGGCAAATACATTTTTCGACCGTCTCTCCGAATGATTTATTCCGATTGCCAGTGGCACCTCGAGAAGGGAACGAGCTTTTTTCTTCTTTTTTTCCTTATCAAGCTAACCAACCACAATCCCCCTCCCATTACTCGTGAATTTTCTCTCTCCGAAAGGAAGAAACGCGTTCTCATGGAAAAATGTGCATAAAACTACTCCTACTATTATTATTACTCGCCGGAGTAATTTCCAAACGCTACGTCATTCATTCTCTTCTCTTTTCCTACGAATTTCAAATTTCCATTTAGAAAAAAAAAAAAACTCTTCGTCGTTTTCGTAATCGGTTGTTTTGTCGCAAAAATTATTAAATTTTCGATGAAAATAATTGACGCGACTATTATTATTTTTTCCATTTGACTTGTTTTTTTCTTTTTTTGTCGGAGCAACTGGTGCGATCGTTTGAAAGTTCTCTTCATTGTCGGGATAAAAAGCTGGTCCCCGACTTGGCCCCCGACCTGGCCCCCGCCCCCCGATTATTCGAAAAAGAAAAAACATCGCCCTACGATCGTCCGCGCTTTTACGACAAACTTCTCGTATCGCAACTTTTCACGCTTCTTTCTTTACGTTTTCTCCAAACCCCCACCACACCCCCATAAATCTTTCGTGACGATTTCTCCATTTTTTTTTGTGTTTCTATAAAAAGGAATGAATATCTTTTTATCATTAAAGATCGAAGATTCCTCCGTAAAATCGTAAGCAAAAAATTACTGGCTAAACTCTCGAGGAAATGGAAAGAAGGAAAAGCAGTTTATAAGAAGAAGAACAAATTTCGAAGACGAATATTTCTCCCATAGTGTTCCGCCGCCCCCAAAGACCGCCCCCCTCCAACCAGAAGAAAGAATTTCTCCGATCGAAATAAATTGAACGAGTACAGAGACGTATTGTTAGAACATAATTAACTGAATATCATCAAGATATAGTCATATCATCAAGAGAGGGTTAAAAAAAGAAAAAAAAAGGAAAAGAAAAGGAAAAAAAAGTAAGAAAAAAAGAGATATGAGTGGAGTAGGTTTCTTAGCGGCTGTGAAAACTTTCACACCGAGTGGTAGGAGACGAAGACGTTGCGAAAAACAGCAAAAGATCCTGGAACTTCCTGGCGGATACGCGATGCAACCGGATGTCGTGCCTAGTTGGGACGCAGCACCTCCAATAACTCCACCCGCTGCCTTTCTCCCACCGGGCTACAAGAAAGGCTTTCCTCAAGGTGAGCTTATTTTTGTGCTTTCGGAAAAATCACCTGAACGTTATATTATTATGCGAACGAAGTAATATTATTCTACGCGCACCACACACAAACAAACAAAAAGAAGAACAAATACTGAACTATTCAGATGATGATGATAAATTCTTACTCTGCAATCCATCCACCCCTCCGCCAGGGCCCCCTTCCCCCTTTTTTACATTTTATTTTTCTATTCGATTAATAATGTAATTTTTTGTTTGTTCTTTTTTTATTAATCGTCTCACTTGTCGACGACTCTTTCATTCTCCTTTCGAAGGATCGATGAACCCGTTTTATTCTATTCACTCGACAACTAATTTTCTCATTTCGCAACAACCATCAAACGATAGTAATATCCAATAGAATTTTTTTCTTCCTTTTCTTGGCTGTACTCTTCTTTTTTTTTCTTTTTTATGGATTGACGTCAGTCCTGAGTAATCTCCTTTTCCAAAGAACGTTCGTCAAATAGTTGACGAGATTTCAACACGTTTTCGGATTAGAAATAAAGTATTTTAAATAAGTAAGTTACTCGTAAATTTACGTAAACTTTTGATTGTTTTACGTGTAACAGAGAACGAGAGAGAGAGAGAGAGAGAGAGAGAGAGAGATATTTCGTTCCTTGCTGAAACTTTTCTCAACTGTAACCCCTAAACCAGGGATACTCAGCCCTGATTCAAGGTTCTCAGTCAAGATTGAAATATATTTTGAAACAAACAAATAAATAAATAATCTTACAAGTGGTAAAGTAACAATTGATTGGCGGTTAAGCAGACAAGGACGATATTAAATTAACAAATAAAATTAATTAATTATAAATAAATAAAGTTATTTTGTTAATTTTATCAAATCGCTAACTACACACAACATACACCATACATACACCTGCAACAGGCATTGACAGGACTTATTACTACAGTTGATCGACACACATGTCTGTAATATCAAAAATCACAAATATTAATATCCACATATGTTTCAACGAAATAGTATTTGTTTTATATTCCCATTCACCCCCATTATTAATTATAGATCTATATAAAATCCATAACACGTTTCAATGGAGGGATAATTCTGATATTTTACGTCGATAAGCATCTTTTTGTTTTTTTGTTTTAATCAGAAACGATTATTAAAAAAGGAAAAGTAACAAGACTTTTCACGTGACACTGTAATCGTAGGGGGAAGGAAGGGGTGACTGGTCGATGTTGGGATTTTTGAGATTCGATGTAGGAAATTAATAATAATATGCGGCTCTCGAGAAAAAGAAAAACAAAAAGAATAAAAAAAGGGTTGAGTACCCCTGGTGCTTTAAACAAAGCGAAATTGTACGTGCATCCCTTTCACCACTCGCATGCAATATTCTCGAGTGGCCTGATGTACTTTTCCCTTGGTTTTTTTTGTTCTCTTTCTTTCTTCTTCTTTCCTTTTCCTGTCTGCTTTAAAATCGATCGCATAAAAGAACGCGTTTGAAAAATCGATACGAATAGAAGAAGGGAAAAAAATACGAGTGTGCGTTAGGTTTGCTTGCGTATGCTGACGATTGACGTGGGTCGTCGTCGTCGTCGTCGTCGTCGTACACAGGGGTGTATAGTATAAGAAGAAAATGAGGGGATAAACCTGGATGATGATGGGGTGGTTGGTGAGCGTCAAACTTGCGTATGCTGAAAAATGGAAAAAGTATTCGTGTCGTTATATGATTTCCTTTTGGCGTTTCCCTGCCTACTCGTGTGTGGGTGGTGTGTGTGTACTGTGAAATTCGATTGGAAATTTTTCCAAACGGCTGAACGATCCCCCACTTGGAAACGTCTCGTCACTTGAAAAGCCTGACGCAAAAATTGAAATGCCGTTAACCTCTCGCTGCTTCTTCCAGCTTATTTTTTCTTTCCTTCTTTTCTCTATTTTTTCTTTTCTTTTTTAACTAGTTTTTATTAACGGATCCTCTCAAGTTCATCGTTTAAGTGGATCGATCTTTCGATTGATTTCTTTTCTACGAAATTTATGAACGAGTGAAATGAAATAATCGGTTTAATGATTCATTGATAAATAAATTTGATTATATAATGATAGAGGATTTTGTATTTAAGTTAAAATTATAAATGTCATCAAGCTTATTATCGTTTTCATGAAATTTTGAGATAAACGTGTTAAATTGAGTTTTCAAAAAGAGAGAGAGAGAGAGAGAGAGAGAGAGAGAGAGAGAGAGAGAAATATATGCATAGTGAGTGATAGGACGTTAGTTCATATTCCAATAAACGTAATTAATCTCGCCGGGGAAATGAAACTAATTGTATGGTACTCTTTAATTGTCATTTAGGGAAGTTGCAAACCGTCTGTTTTTTGTCATAGCATATATCTCTCGTTAATTAATAGCAATAAATGTATAATCATTTTACCTGATATATATCTTCTACCTGCAGTCGACTATATTCTGAACGAATTTAGAATTATCGTCGTATAGAACTTGCAACATACATAATTATTATGTGTTTATACATATAAATCAAATTCGGAAAAAATATTCGACCAAAATTTGTGGTAATTAAATTTGTAGGTAATGTGACAAATGTTCTCTTGCAATATATCAGGTGAGTCTAAAAGTTCGTGCACATTTTTGCGAAATTTTTAAACAGTGTACGAATATATACGAATTTTTGGACTGACCTGAATATATAATAAAAAAATATATATATAATAATATAAAATATATAATCAAATTCTATATATATAAAAAGATAAAACGAGCGAGAAAAATTCTGGAACAATCGATCGGAATTTACGAAAGAATGATCTGAAATCAAGAATACGACGAGTGTCTTCGCATCTTTAGGATTCTCGTCTCGTTCCGTGTTCTAAATTATAATCAAAATTACATTTGTTAACAATGAATGTCGAGTATCGAAAACATTTTTTTTTTTTCGGTAAATCCACGTCATAATAGAAAAAACCAAACAAGATATATCGGTATTTCTTTGTATTATTATTTTGTTGTTCTTTTTATAAGATTATTTCCTCTTCACTTATTCTCGTTTTTTTCTTTCCCTCCCCCGCGTTAAAAGTATTTAACAAGTTTGTTCATTTTTCCTTTTACAAATGAAATAATTAAACTTGGAAAATATTTCAATGTAGTTTTTCTTTTATTTTCAGATCTCATGTCTTTCGATTTTGCAATTAATAGACATCGATCCTACGCGATGACATTAGCTAAACGATAAAATCTAACAATAAGTGTTAGCGTTTCGATTAAGTATAGCAAAAAAAGAGAGAGAGAGAGAGAGAGTTATATCGTGAAAAGAAAATAAATTTGTAACGCTTTTCTCTTTTTTGCTCGACCCGTATTTGAGACAAACAATTAACAATGACCTACTTTTACAAATTAAATTTTCCCTTTTCAATGTCGTTTAAACATCGTTTTTTAGTTTCTCCAGCCTTTTTTTCTACTTTTTCTTTCTCTCGTTATCATTTGCTTTTTCCTTTTTTTTTTTTTTCAATGTGGAAAAAGTGGAATATTTGTATCTTCCTGAAATGTATCTCGTGTATTTGAAAAGGCCGAAAAGCTCGAAAATAACGGCTAGTTTTATTTTTGTTTCTTTGCACAAAGCCGGTTGAAAAATTAGGAACAATAATAATAAAAATAACCACCCCATCTGTTCGTTGATTCGGTGCACGATCGAGATCAATAAACATATGATGAAACAACGTGTAAATTTGCGTCAGAGAAAATCGTGGAAAAACATGGATACCATCTGATGGGGCCCCGGATCGATATCTCTTTCTATTCGTATTTTACCGTTGATTCATTTGATTATGTCGTGTTGCTAAATTAATTACCTATGACGTTGGGGCTTGAAAAGCTTTGACCGCTTTAAAACAATGGCGTTGATAATTCGACACCGATATCGAGATTTTTGTCAACAATATTGTCAACAATATTGAACATTGAAAGAGGAGGAACAAAATGAGTTATGATAAGAAGGTAGGAGGTGTTAATAAAAAATGAAATCTCGTTAGATCTTTTCTAAAGTTCATAATTAAAGAAAACGTTAAGCTTCTGAGAAAACGTAAGTACTTATCTAACTTCTACGTGCTTGCGAATAACATCGATGGAATTATCTTTTGGTTTTTTTCCATTTTATGACGAGATCTATGGTATAAGAAAAAGAAGGTGATATGGTGGTGGTATCTAGAGGAAACTTCTTTGGTGATAATACGAATTTGAATAATTTCAAGAATAAACGATTACGTACTAACAAATGTTTCCCTATGAAACTGTGATATCATTTATTTCATAACAACTCCAACACCCCTTTTTTTCTCCTACTTCTAATCACATTTTCGTTTTCTTCTTCCTCTAACAATAAAATTAATTTAATCGCCACCCTTTTGGTACTTTAAAATGGAGTGAACGCGTAGGCGAGGTCAAGGACGAAGGTAGGAAGAAAGCCACGGCACGCATTTCAAACTCTTCTTTTTTTCTACCCCCACAATCGGTCACGTTTCTTCGATGTGTGTAAACCACAGATTGATATCGTATGTACCACACGATACAATACACTACCCACGAGAACGTGTGTGCTACAATAGCAATGATTAATCAATTATTTGTAGAGTTCCATTAGTCAAGATCAAATGAAATTAAGTCTATTAAGATATCCGCGTACCTACCGATTGGTACCTCAATAAAAACTGCTCTAGGATATTATTTTTATTTCTTTGCGAAGTGTAACGTGAGATTGTCGCAATGAAAATGAGAAAGAGATAAAGGAAAACAACAAAAAAATTCAACAAAAAAAATAGAACAAAAAAGCACTTTGTATAAATCAAATATAATATGAATTCACGTGTCCTTTTTACAATTACGGTTGAACACTTGAACGGATTTTGACAAGCTTTGGTGTACCCTTAAGGTATTCTTTCGGTAAAATATTTCGGTTAACTGACCAGCAGCCAATTTTGAGAAAAACATTTAAAAATTTGCCTTTTTTTATATATTATATAAATATATGCTTACTTCTTGTAAATCTAAAAAAAGTATACTATCATCAAAGCTCGTAAAAATCCGTCGCGATGTTCAACTTTAATGTGTCTCCTTGTTATAGATAACTTTATTTTACCAGTCGAACGATACAATTAGTGAACTGACAACGACCGATCGTTTTCTTCTGCCTTTGTTTCTTTTTTTTTTTTCTTTTTTTGTCCAGTATTTTAAATTGTCATCATCGAAGAGTATGAAAAGGAAAAGAAAAAAAAAGAGAAAAAAGAGAAAAAAAGAAGAAAAAAGGGAGAAAAGGGATTGACGCCTTCAACAGTATTGTCCGCTATTTCTATATTGCTCTCGGACTTTTATACTTCGCGAGAATGCAACGTCATCCCGTATATTGTCGATCCAACCAACCACTGCCTTGTGGCATTTGACGCGGACTCTCTGCACGCAAGCTTTGATATATGAAAGCTTTTTCTTTTTTTATTATTATTACTTTTTTTTCGTTGAAATATTTGTTACATTGGGGGGAAAAAAGGAAATGTGACTAATTCGTCGCTTTAATAACACGAACGAAATTTCGTCGACGACATAACTGAAAAAAAAAGTTGATGTGCCACTGCCAAGGGCAGCACGCCACGGAAGTGTAGCCATGCTCTATTCATAGTCGCATTTGTCGTGTGTTACACGTTCATCTTTTCTACACGCATAAGAGATGTTTTCTCTTGGATATTATTCTCATCCGAATAGGTCAGCTTCTTTCTCCTTGACGATTAATGACAGTGCATCTATATTTATTTTTCTTTTTTTTTTTATTATATATTTTCACCAAGACAACATTTTAGATCAATTAAACATGCGTTATCGTAATCTTTGTTCTGAATTTAAAAACAAATTATTATCAATCTTATTGTATTCGATTCGATATATCGAGAAATACAAACAAATAGGAAAGAAAAAAAAATGGAATAATATCAAAACGCCGACAATTAATTGGTCCGATGCATTACACGTACTTACTTTGGAATTTGACGATCGTCCAATTCCTCTGCTAATAAATTTTGGAAGATTTGAAAATAGAGAAAACAAGAAGACCGATTTGTTCTAATGGTCACCGAACTCGATATTTTCTCCTAAATTTGCTTTTTCCGATTTGACTGGTATTAATTTCATGTCATACGTTATTCGTATTTATGTCGATACTGAAACAGAGAGGGAGAGAGAGGGAGAGAGAGAGAGAGAGAGAGAGAGAGAGAGAGAGAGAGAGAGAGAGAGAAGAAGAAGAGGAAAACACACAAACAGACAGGTAAACAGGCGGCATATAAATTAACACGAAAATGAATCATTCTTTGGCTGGCATAATAAATTACAAAATTCGATATATTTCCTATTATAGAATATTCCCTATTAATATCAAATTGTGGTCAAATTAATTGTTTCATTTTATTGATCATAATTTCTCAAAATGAAGCAATCTCTCTCATCCCTAAGAAATGAAATAGAATTATTTTTTAAAATATACAAAAAAAAAAAAAGAAATATTGAGAACAAACGTTGATCATCATTTAAAAAATGAACAATTGAAAAGAAAACTTTTCTCTGAGCTAACAACAAAATGTCTGTTTTTTCCCTCATTTAATCCTTTCATTCCGGCAACGTCGTCCGACACAAGCATGCATGATTCTACTGATCGTAATCATGAGTTTACTGTGCAGTAAGTTAAGCAGCAAAAATTTAGCTGAATACGATATTAAAATATTCTACTATTGGAAGAAAAACTGTGTGCGTTGAACAAATAAATAAAATAACAAAAATAAAAATGTATAACAAGCAACCAGCAGCCCCCGTTATTTGCGAGGCACGGGATTTACAAGGAATCATCACGTGGATGTGTCATCAATGACGACGACGTTTGGAATGAATTGATTATAATATTAATTGTAACTAGAAAGAAAAGAAAAAAAAGGAAATAGACGAAAAGAAAAAAAAAGGAAGAGAAAGGGTGGGTTCTGGGGGGAGGAAAGAGAAGAATTACTTGGGTAGTCTACGTCGAACTCTTTTTTTTTCTTTTCTGTTACAGAGCCGAAGAAGGAAAAGACTGAACAGAGTGCAAATGGCGCAGTTTCGGCAAGTGCCGAGACTCAGGTCAATCAGAGCACGACTACGGGCGTTGGGGTGCCGATTTCAGGCACGACCACGAATACAGGGGGGGATCAACAAAAGCCGAATAGGCCGAACACCCTTGATGCCAGGGTTGTAGCCAGGAGGCTGATCTTGTTCGACAGTGAGTATATGTATTATATGGAAATAAATCTTCTTCTTCTTCTTCTTCTTCCACGTTCCTTTTCACAAGCTCAGAGAAAAGTTTATTATTCTTTCAAAAAGAATATAGAAGAAACTAAACTGATCTATGACTAATCTAAGACTGATCTGTACTGATATTTTTCTATACTTTTTTCTACGAATACGATGGTGGTTATATATCATTTATACGCAACGATGTATATGTGTATGACATGCATACATTAGGCGACAATATTAGATATGCAGGAAACACCACACATTGACATTATTCATTTTTTAAAGACATAATACAGATACCAATTTGTTTGCCACTTTATCACACGTACGTTATACAAAATGAGAACTACGCGTGTTTCGAACGTTTATGATCTAGGAAATAATTGTATAAAGCATATGAACAAATTTCTTGTTTATATGATAATATTTAAGAGAGAATGGCTGGGGTAGATGAGATAGGCATACAACAACGATCTTTGCTAGATCGTCTATGGAATTGAACAAAATAAAGATCTTGAAATTGTATAAAGATTACTCACTCGTCCCACGAATGCTTAGTAAGTTTTCTTGGTGAGAAAATTGAGCGAGCGAGCAAACAAGTGGGGTAGTGAGGGGAACGATCATCATTGCCAAGATTTTCTTGGCTTTGAGATATATCACCGGTTCTCTCAATCTCGTAATGAGTAATTCTCATAAGATAATTCTCACTTATATTACTTGTCCCCGTTCTATAATATTATGTTGTTACGTATTGACAAATATTCTTCTTCTTCTTGAAGAAGACAAATGTTAATTTGTTAAAATAATAACTAAGTAATAATATGTAATTAATTTTATGATATTTATTTGTTGATTTCAGTGGAAAAGGGTGTTCTCGATCAAAGCGCCGAAAATCAACAGCAGGTAATAGAAAGGTGCTATCCTTTACCACCTCAAAATACTTTGATGTTGTCGGAGCTTCCGGAACCTCCAATTCCTTTGAGCGAAATAGGACCGATTCCACCACCGCCGATGTTCAGCTCGCCGAGTCCCACGATGGTTACGAGGCAGCGGCAACAGCAAATCCCGTTATCGGATTGCGAAGACGAAGGTAAGGATTGCTGCTTTTATTTTATTCTTTATTTATTGACTAATTATATTCTAATGTTTTATGCAAACATCCTACGAACCGGCTACTTTCTCATTGAAATATTTATTTGAAGACATTACAGTTGAATATCAACGGATTTTTACGAGCTTTGATGATATATCAGTAGTATACTTTTTTAGGTATTCTTTCGGTAAAATATTTCGCTAAACTGGCCAGTAGCCAATTTTGAGAAAAACATTTTAATATTTACTTTTATTTATATAATATGTGCTTATCTTCTTGTAAATTCAATCGATTAGTGCGATAGCATAAGTTGGAAAAAATGGAATACCTTAAAGGGGTATACTTACACATATACCAAAGCTCGTAAAAATCCTTTCAAGTGTTAAACTGTAATGTCTCCTTGTAAATGTTCAATTTGTAAATCTAATGGAAAAGTAGCTTGTACGAATGGTGTCTGTAATATTTGAAAATAAACACAAGGAAGGATCATTTTAGTACCTGTTTTAATATAAAACTGATATGACAGTGTACGTGTCCTTCGTAGATGACGAAGACATCGACGTGGAGGAGGAGGACGATAATCTTTACGTCTTTAGGGTGTCTCAACCAGATCCGGCTATCGATACATCTAGGATCGAAGAAATACCAGCTAAAGAGCCTAAATTCCATGCGATGCCATTGAAAAGTGCACTGAAGAAAAAGGGATCCGGCAGTGGTCCTGGAACGCCGCAAAATACGCCAACGCAGGAGAACAGGCCATTGACTCTTCGTCAAGAACTCCATGCTTCGTTCAAGTTAGTTCATCTTTATATGAAAGCACAACAACCCTAATAGCGAAGCATTTAGAAACGTATTCATCGGATTTTGTACGCGCATGTACGAGGGTGGGGGGGGTTGGGAGAGTTTACGAATAAAATGCGGATCGACATTTACGCGGTTTCTTTTCATTCGAATTTTCAAAAGACAAGGAGGGGGAGTCCTTTCATAAAAAAAAAAAAAAAACAAATAAACGGAGGGGAGAAGAAAATTAATGTTAATTTCTTGAGGAAATCTTACTTTTCGATTGTTCCTTCGCGACTCGAGGATTCGTTAAAAGCCACTCGATCGAATCAAAGTTAAGAAAAAAGTTTCGAGTTAATCTGGAATATCGTTTAATCCTTTAGGTTTACGTTTCCAAGTTTTTTCTTTTTTTTTTTTTTTTTTATTTAAACCGTCTAACGTAAGATTGACAAATTTGTAATAAATAAATTAGATCGAACGATGTTCCAGCGTGAATCGTTGAAATATATTTGGACATTGTACGCTGCCCCCCCCCCTCCACCCCGCCATTAACATATCAATCGCTAGTAAAACAATCGTATTTTTCTTATGCTTAACCAGAAGGCCACCGTTGAGGCCAAGGATGAGAATATGGTAATTGGACATTGGTCTAATTAAGCATGCGCGAACCGATGTAATATGATATATGTATAAACATTGTATAATATTGTATTTTTGGAATCCCATATTATGGTGGTTGGATCGTAAAGAAACAAAATGTTTTCTAGTCTTTCCATTGACCTCTGTCTGTCTGCCTCTGTGTCGAACGCCATAAGCATGAGACGTTCGATCTTAAGCATGAGAAAACCTTAGGGAAATCCATGAAAAATACTCTTTCACTTTTATTATACTTCTCATATAGAATTATGTACATATATACATATATTATATAATTATTATACATATACACGGTACGTTTGATTTATGCATGTAAATTATTTCTTACAATTAGATCTAACAA